GAGGCCGTGAGGTCGGAGAACCAGAAGAAGGAGCGAGTGGTAGGGTTGGTATCAGAGTTCTTTACCGATGGTCGGGGGCTTATGACTTTTCAGGGGCGGATTTGGGTGCCGTTTGTGGGAGGGATGCGTACCATTTTGATGGAAGAAGCTCATCGGTCGAAATTCTCGATCCATCCTCGGGCCACTAAGATGTATTTGGATCTGAGGAGGGAGTATCGGTGGCCCTATATGAAGAGGGATGTTGTGTGGTTTGTTGAGAGGTGCTTAACCTACCATAGGGTTAAGGCCGAGCACTAGAGACCACATGGTAGGTTGCAGCCGTTGGAGGTTCCCGAATGGAAGTGGGAACAGATTACCATGGATTTTATCACCAAGTTGCCAAGGACTACGAGGGGATTCGATGCAATTTGGGTGATTGTGGATAGGTTGACGAAGAGCGCCCACTTCCTTGCTATTAGTGAGAGCTCCTCCACATAGAAGTTAGCAGAGATGTACGTGAGGGAAGTGGTATCTTGGCATGGGGTGCTGATCTCGATTGTCTCAGACCGTGAAGTACGTTTCACTTCCCGGTTCTGGAAGAAGTTTCATGAGAGCTGGGTACTAGGCTGCATTTTAGTACCGCATATAACCCCCCAGACAGACAGACAGATTGAGCGGACGATTTAGACACTCGCGGACATGCTCCGGGCATGTGTATTGGATTTCGGGGGAAGTTGGGATATGTACTTGCCCTTGGCAGAGTTTTCTTACAACAACCATCATTCTAGAATTGGTATGCCACCCTTTGAGCTATTGTATGGGAGGAGGTGTCGGACCCCCATTTCCTAGGGAGAAGTCGGACAGCGTGTTATGGGCAATACTGAGATCGTACTTCATACGACAAAGCAGATCCAGCAAGTCAAACAGAGGTTATTGACCGCTCAGAGTCGACAGAAGAGTTATGCGGATAGACGCCGGTCCGAGCTTGAGTTTTAGGTCGGCGACTTTGTGCTCCTGAATGTCTCTCCATGGAAAGGAGTGATTCGATTAAGGAAGAGGGGCAAGTTGGGGCCCCGATATATTGGTCCATTTCGGGTGGTCGTGAGGGTAGCTAGGGTAGCCTATCGTTTGGAATTGCCAGCAGAGTTGTCACAGATTCACAACACTTTCCATGTGTTGCAATTGCAGAAGTGTATAGCCAATGAGTCGGTAGAGGTTCCATTAGAGGATACTCAGGTGGATGCGAGCCTGAATTATGTGGAGAGACCAGTGGCAATCAGAGATCGGAAAATCAAGGTTTTGAGGAACAAGGAGGTACCCTTGGTTTTGGTTCAGTGGCAGCATCGGAAGGGGTCTGATATGACTTGGGAGCCGGAGTGTGAGATGCGTGAGCAGCATCCGGAGTCATTTGCAGAGCGAGACTTCGAGGGCGAAGTCTAGTTCTAGTGGGGGAGAATTGTAACAGCCCGGATTCCCAGGTATTATTCATTCTTATATTTTTAGTATTTTGTGAGGAGACTCGGCGAGTTGGAGCTCAAAGTCGTCGAGTAGGATCGCGTTTTGGACGAAGGATTTGCGTCTGGACTCGGCGAGTCCACGTTGTTTAATGAAACCCTAATTCTCCAGGTTTGGAGCCTATTTAAGGGCACTTGTAGCCTCCCATTGCGGCTACCAGTCCCTTGAGAGAACCCTAAGAGAGCTAATTCGTTTTGGCAGAGAGGAAGTTACTTTTGGGCCTTTGTATTCTTTGTTTAGCAAGAGGAAGGTGGCAAGAGCAAGGAGGAGGTGAGATTACATCAGATCCAGAGTCCAGAGGCTTCATTTGAGGTAAGGGTTTGAATCTCCTTCAATTATAGGGTTGATCTTTAGATTTAGGGTTTTATAACCCCTTTGGAGAGTGATTATGTGAAGCAAATGGTCCCTCTTCGAGTTTGTACCTTGGATCTGGACTCAAAGAGGTCCAGAGACCTTAACCATTGGAGCTTTTTGGGTTATTATGGAGTCATTGGACCTAGGTGGTTATTGTTGGTACCAAATCACCTTTTGATGCCTTGTGGGGGTTATACAAGCATCAAGTTTCGAACTTTACGTGACATTCATGCTTCGTAAAGCCAAATCTATGGTTTAGGAAAGCAGATGTAACCTCAGAAGGTCAATAAAAGTGTGTGCATGGCATGAACTCGCCAAGTTCTTCGGACTCGGCGAGTAGGGTTCGGGTTTCACGTAATATGTTCAGCGAGTGGACACGCCGCGTTGGGGGATAACCCAGTGAGTCAGGAAGAGTCATATGGGGGTTGAGTCAAGCCGGAGCCCACCGAGTTGTTCTTGAGACTCGGCGAGTTGAGTCGTGGTTGCCTTGCGATTCAGGTTAGGTGGAACTCGTCGAGTTAGGGGAGTGCTCGACGTGCCATGAAAAGATCCGAGGGAGTCAGTGAACGCGTTAGACTCGCCGAGTTGCTTTGGTGCAGTCGCCGAGTCCGGACAAAGTTGACCATTGACCAGAGTTGACCAGTGTTGACTTGATAGGGTTAGTCAACTTTAGTTGTAAAAGTTTTAATTAGAGATATATATTGTATTATAGGAGGATTATTGTTCGGGGTATCGAGCACGAGTGATTCCAGGGATTTGCGAGTTATCGAGATACATGAGGTGAGTCTTCTCACTATACTTTACCTTGAGTAGGTACCTAGAGTTATGTGATACAGTGCTTGTATGCTATAAATATATATATATATATATATATATATATATATATATATATATATATGTGTGTGTGTGTGTGTGTGTGTGTTATGTGTTTTGCTGCATTATTCTATGTGATTTATGTTGTGCATGTTTACATAGTTAGAACCTGAGGGTTCACAGAGTTTGGGTGCACGGACCCACAGAGTTATAGCCTCGAGTGGCTAATATGTGTTATATGTGGTATTTTAGGGAACTCACTAAGCTTTGTGCTTACAGTGTTTGGTGTTATTTGTTTTAGGTACTAGTGACGACCGTGGGAAGGCACCGACTTGATCAGTACAGACACATGGGATTTTATGTTATGAGATCTTGGGATTTTTGTATGACATGAATTGTGTTTCACACATGGGTGTTTCTACGAATATTAAATGAATTATGTTTTTATAAAATGCGAAAAATTGTTTTGAAATTTACGGTGTTACAAAATACCATGTAGAGGTTTGGGCCTAATTTGGAAAACTAGGCCATATGTTGGGCATTGGTTGATTATTTGGCTTTTGGGCCTTCAGAGTGTGAGTTTGGGCCTTGGTTTTGAAGAAAGCTAGCTTAGGGGTGAAATGGTCCTTTTACCCCAAGTGCGGATTTCTGGTTATGCATTGAAACCCAAATGGTTAGTTGGATGTTGTATTGATTTGGACAGTTCGGGAGTCTGTCATCCAGTAGCTAGAGTTTTATCCGCTGGACTTCAGTAGTGCGAGTTGATTCTCCTCACCATACGAATGGGTCGAAGGCACCAAGGCTGACCCATTTTGTGATATGTGGTACACTAGTTGATGTAGTAATATGTGGTATACTAGTTGGTTATATACTTTGTGGTAAGATAGTTGCTTATGTGATATGTACATGAAAGACCATGCGAGGAACCCATGACACTTGGAGGTCAGACAATGTGGGAGTGTCCATGGCTTTCTAGGTAAATACCATGGGGGAAGACCATGTCACTTGGATGTTAGACCATGTGGGGGATTCCATGCCTTTCTAGGTAAGGACCATGGGGGGAGCCCATGACACTTGGATGTCAGATCATTTGGGGGAGCCCATGCCTTTCCAGGTAAAGACCATTGGGGGAGCCCATCACACATAGATGCGAGACCTTGGGGGAGCCCACGACATCTTGTAGTAAGACCTTGGGGGGAGTCCACAACAACCTTATATGTTTATATGCTTTGTTTATGTGATTGATATGGCTTATGTGATTGTTAAGGTTGATGCGGTTATATGGATTTTGTGGGGTATGCTGTGGGGAACTCACTAAGCTTCGTGCTTGCAGTTTTGTTATGTTTTCAAGTATCATCAATTTGCAAAGGGAGGGCCTTGCTTGATCGCAACGCACACCCATGTTTTCAGCAATATGTGATTTTTGGATGAACTGTGGTAAATGTTTTTAGTTAGAAACATTTTTTGAATGTTTGGATTAATAGATATATGTGTTTTTAGTATAATAAAAATGACATTTTTACCCTTGATTTTTGGGTCGTTACAAGTTGGTATCATAGCCTTGGTTTGAGGGATTCAGACATAATCTCGATTGTATCTGAACTCAAACTGAGGAGTGATAAAGTTTTCAAAAGAAAAATGTTTTCAAGAAAATAATTTCCTGAAATATGATAGGGGTGTGGTGCATGTAATCAGTCGAGCTCAAGTAAGTTTCACCTAAAATACCCATGTATGTTATCTAATATGATTTGATCGATGAATTGCATGCTAGTTAGGGCGAAGAATTTGCTCTGTTTTTCATGACAGAATGCTAAGAGGGATGCCTTATATGTTTATTGTATGAGCTTGTAGACTTGCATCCTAGTGCTGGTTAGTTAACAATAGATTGGCCAATATGTGATGTTATGTAGCCTGGGAATTATTGAATGCTATGTTGTAATGAAAATATCTATTAGTCTCAGTAACTCCTAAGTGTATGCTTTAAAAATTGCATATAGTTAGGATCTTGTATCCCTAGAATAAATGATATGTCTTTATTTCCTATTCCTCTTCTGCTTGTCGTCCGACGGTAGAGTCTATTATTCGATAGACAATTTGATCTTGTTATGTGTATAATTTGCATGCATAAGGCAGCCGATAGTGAGTGGTTGTGGATCTCATGATTTGTGGTATGCGGGCTGAATCCCCTATGATAATTCTTTGGATCGGCGGGCTACTACATGAATGTTGCTTGCTTTGTGCTTTGTGGAACTCTTGAATAATGGGAGTTAGGTACTAAGTGAATATGACAATATTCAAGAGGTGGATGTAAGTCATCATGAGGAGTTCTTCAACAGTTGATGATAGGGCGTGGTTGGGAACCTAGGATATGCTCCAGAGAGTTTAGTGGGGCGGTAAAACGAGGTTGGAAACCTAGGGAGATCCTACGAGGTGATTCAGTGGGTATCGTGTTGCTGTTTAGCGGATATTTGGTGCATCTATGGGGTAGGTGACTTATAGGATTCGGGAGGGTTGTTGAGGAAAGTATGGATAAGCGTGGAAGGTAGTATTTCGACCGTACTACTGAAAGCACATGACCCATACTTGATTCGATGAGAGTCCTGGATAATCTAAGAAGCTTATGGGAAGGAGAATTTAATTATGCTTGGACCATGGGAATAACTGCTTTACAGGACGAGGATGAGCATGCATGGGGAAGGACTAGGCTTTGGTCCTAGCTTCGGTGGTGAGCTAGTTAGTGGAAGGACTGCCAGGGATTTTAGTTCACATTGGATTAAGGAGATGGAAAGTGTTTTCCGCACTAGTCCCTACCTCTTTGGAGCTAAGGTTCGGTTCACCTTGGATCTCTTGTATCGGGCGAAAAGGGTTAATTGTGTGATCTATTGAGCTATCAGGATTGGAGGATATGCCTTGGGAGTAGTTTGTAGTGGTTTAGAGTAGAGGTTGCTTCAGCCATTGTAGTTCACCCGTGGACGATTGAGGATGTGAGGGTGTTAGGGTGCCAGACCCTGAATGTTATGATTTCTAGATCCCGAGAGAGGGAGAATGATTTCTAGCACATTGGGAAGAGGGGACCAGATGAAATGTATTTATAGGATGGTCTTTGGAAGAGATCTAAGATTCCAGATCAACTTTCGATTGGCCAGCAAGGCCGGATTCTATGCAACACTTGCGGGAAAGTGTGCAATGGATTTTTTCATTCCAAGGGTTTGGGTAAGTGTATCTTTGGGTTTGTTTCCTTACTTGTGTTTGGGTTGTATCTTCGAGTGATGTCATATGTTATTTGTGTGTCGTGAATTATTAGCAGTTAACGAAAGGTCATTTCCTTATTTTGCGGGTTGGAAATGTTCAATATTATCTTTGTTTATGGTCGAGAACTCGAGATTAGTTCAACGGTATTAAGTGGAAGGTCTACGGGCAGGGTTCCACAGGATGGTTATTCAACATCATCAGGATCTCGTAGTTTTAGTAACCGTTATTGATTCGCTGATGGAAGCGCCAATGGAAGTGGCTCGTTACTGAGGTTTTGGTTGGAGCATCTGTCTTTTGGTTTTCAATATTTGAGTGCGGTATCATTTCAAGCATTAGGGGCTATCCGTTTCATTAGGATCTAGGAGGTGTTCATCTAGGATTTAGAAGTTGTGTGCTCTTTGGGTGATTGGCTAGTGGTGGAGCACTAGTTGGTAAGCGCTATTTGTCATCGGGTCGATTGTTGTAAGGTGAGAAGGATTAGGAATCCTTCAATTCTCATGTGCTTTGAGAATTTAGTCGATTCAAACTGGGGGAGAATCATTCTGAGACTCAGTAGCAGGAGCGGTTTTGAAATTGGGATAAGTTTCGCATCCTTATCAAGAAGAAAGACAGCCCAAGCGAAAGTTCGGATTGACGATTGTGTTAGTTGGAAGTCTGGGAAACTTACCAACATTGAGATCGTATTCTTTTAGTGATTGATAGCAGGCTTTGTGGAACCTGGTCGACATCCTATGCATAACTCGAGTTTAGTGTGGGGTGTTTAGTCGAGTATGTGCTTGACTCTAAGTATATTCGAATTGATATATTAAGGTTAAGGCGTAGGGCTGCAAATGTGGTGAGGTGAAAGTGTTGTAGAACTACATGGGATCTGTAGCATTCACTAGTATTCAAATAGTGTGGTAGGTGCTATAAGACTATTGGGTAGCCATAGCATTCACTAGTAGTCAGATAGTGTGGGAGTTGTTGTAAGACTATGGGGTAGCCGTAGCATTCACTAGCGGACAAATAGTATGGAAAGTGTAGAAAGATTGCAGGGGTAGCCGTAGCGTTATGATATGCTGAAGAGGATTGCGTTGGAATTGTAAGGGAGATCCATGCGGGTATCTTCTCTTCTTATCACAGTGCAAAAAAGAGAAATGATCATTAGCCGATGTGCAGGAGGAGTTCCGGGATGAAGCTCCGACAATCAAGTTAGTGTGAGATCTGAGAGGTATTGTAATAGACTATAGAAAAGAGAGAATTACGTCCCCTTCTTCGTGTGGAAGAAGGAACCTTTTATGACTGTTTGTGAGGCATTTCCCTCAACTGATTCTATTGAGTATTCACTTGTGAGTAGTGACATGACATACCTATATTGGAGGATCCTCCATCACGTCTTTCACCTCCTTCCCTCATTAGCTAGAAGAAGATATTTTATTTTTTTTGTAGATCATGGCTATCATCTAATGGGCGAGCGGGACTCTCAGATTGGTCCAACGTTTTTCGGGATATAATTTCGTGGAGATGGGCTTAAGACACAACTCTGCACCTTAACAACTATATCAGTGATCTTCGCGTTCGCGAAGGCGCGGAATTGTCGTTAGATTAGACTCTCTCTAGGCCAAGCCCAATGTTAGTTTGAATTCGTTTCTGATGTTCCCCTGAGGGATACGTTAACAAGTCCCTTAGGCTTGTAGGTGTATGCATCAGCTTGACAATGTAACCGTTCGAACCTACATTTCAACATGTGTATGTCTGGGATCACCTTTAGCATTTAACAGGCTCCAGGCATCATTGTCAATGTGTGTTAGTTACTTTGGGAGACGTTCGTGACGCTAGTTTCGCATTCAAAATCCCCCTTTTTCTCGATGATTTTCATCCTCACATCCCCGCTTCAGCTTTGTGGTATCAACATGAGTATTCTGTTAATTTATTTTTTGATTGCTCATTCTTTTTCGGCATTGGATCCTTATGGTAGAGTCCTTATAGCAGAGGAGTTTCAGCTTCTGTAGGATAGCTTTGGTTTCTTATCGGAGCATGGTGTAATGATTCCGGAAAAGGGGGTATCAATCTATGCTTGCCCTCAAGAGAAGGTAGGAGTTCCGATCCCTCTATTCGAGGTGCAGTTACGCTTGCCCACATCCAATTTCTTCAACATGATTGTGGACCACTATGGCCTCTCCATTGACGAGTTGACTCCAAGTGCTCTTAATAAAAACGTCAGTTCTGAACTGATTTGCTGATCTTTAGGTTGTATACCCACCTTTTGGGTTTTCAGTTAATTCTTTTATTCAGCCACGAATGCTGGTGTTAGTACTTTGGCGAAAAGGTAGGGCATTCATCAGTTAATCTATGAACAAGATTCCCCAAAGAAAAATTGGCAAAGGCAATGGCTCTGGGTTAACCGGGACCTTGTGGGGTGTGGGTTTCGCAAAACACGAGACTTTCTTGACCGCCATCCCAAACTTTTTGGGAGCAACCTAGTTGTCCGCAAATGTCTAGGAAAGACCACTGTTATCAGGGAGAATTAGGAAGATTGCATTCTTGCTGCGGATGGAATGAGTACCATCTAGCAAGCTCATGGGAAAATGGCGTAATTGTACGTCGTAAGATGCGGTGTCTACTCGTCACATTCTCCCCCCTTTTTTTTGAATAAGCAAAAAGGCGGGGGGGGGGGGGGGGGGGAGGCTAGGAACAAGGTATTTTATGAGTTCTTATAGTCAACTTTTATTGACGCAGATGAGCTTGCTCGACTAAATCCTGAAGTCCCAAATCATGGCCGTTTTGCAAGAAAGGTTGAAGAGGTTGATGCTTCTTTGTCGTCCCTTGCTGAGATGGATTTCTCGTGCCTCTTTCCCTTGGGGGAGCCGGAATATGACGGCTTCTGTAAATTTTGTCGCAGGCCGAATCCGGGAGGTTCTTCCTCAGACTCCGAGTGCTCATTTGGGTTTTGAACTTTTATTCGCTGTGTAATGTAGTTGTCATTTTATGTACTACATGTATTGTAAAAAATGTTGGTCATTGATAACCATATACTGTGCATTTTGTTTTGTACTTTGTATGAAAGTGTTCTCTTCCATTATTTTTGTATTTTTACACATTTGTAATATGTTAACACACATATTATGAATTGTCCTCTGGTATCTTTAATGACAGACTATTCTACTACACACTCCCTTGTTCTAGGGTCTACGTTAACTAACTAATGTGTGCTTTAGACGTCTCATAGCTGCTATTATTGAGCTATGTGCGTTTAGTTAGCTTTAATGTGTTAAGCCATGAAATGTTAGTCACTACTGTGGACTGTACTATATGGTCTAGCTGCCAATATATAGGTCGAGATCATCACCTCAAGGCCTTCTACTGTTGTATTATCAGGGGAAAGGTTATGAATCTTTTAGAATCCTATGTTTTTTGCCATTTAGTTTATATATTCTCATCACTGAGATTTCATTGGCACATTGTAGGCAAAGATTATCTCTCTTTTGACACCTATGGTTACATTCTTCCATAGACATTGGTCAAGTAGCGTAGGTGATTAACCGTTGTTGCTACTTGGAAAATATGCACAATCTATATAATTTGTGTTCTTGCAATAAAAAATTCTGGAAGGCTCTTTCAAAATGAAAATTATATTATTTCTAGAAATAAAAAGAAAAACATGAGACAATAGACCCTAAATGTCTAAGTGTCAAGGCGTATGCTCGATTTTCCCTTGGCACTTGGAGTATGGTTATCCTGTGTAGAGTTTTACCATACTCCTTTATTCTAGGTCTTCGCTTTTTTTATAGAGTGCTCGGCTATGGATATCTCATTGTGACTGTTTCTCAGCTGCTGCAAGTCTGTCTTGATAGGCTGAGGTTTCTTCTTGTTTCGGCCAACGATGCCCAACCTAAGAGAGGTGGATTTTGCTGTGCATGCTCTGGACTTTCTTGAACTCCCCTTTCTTCTTGATGCATTGTGAGGTGAAACCATGAGAAGTGCCTTCCAGTGGTTTGGTGAAAGTGTCCCCCATTCTCTCTAGCACGCGTATCAATCTTGCATCCCCCACTGTCGCTTGGGATGCTGTTCAATGCGTCAGGTGCACCTACTAGTTTTCTTCCATAGGAAGGCATGCGTAGCAGGAGGATTTGTACTCTGCCTCTAACTTCAGTGCTTTTGGTTCCTATTTCCTTCATTCCATGAGGTTTTGGTTCATACTCTATGTTGGCCAAAATGTAATTTGAATTTTGAATCGCTCCTTGGCTGGGCCCAACTCGGATTTGTATTTTTGCTTCATACTCTGGCTGATTCATCTATAGATCAGCACATTTTTCTTTCTATTGGTGAGGTGCTATGAGCCGACTGAATACATCTCTCTACCTCTTCCTGGACTCGGGGGTCAGCGCTTATGCTGCTACCATTCTTTGCTATTAATCGTCCATCTGCTGGCAACCCTCACTCTGAGACAATTTGGTTTCTCATTGCCTTTCTCGTTAGGCTTCACATCCATTACCCGACTTGGTTGCCACTACCGTTGTTGATCCGTTACCCGTGCTAAATTTGAGAATAGCATGAAGAGTAGACAGAATCACTTGGCGTTGGAATAATGTTGGTCAGTCTAGTAGAATATTATGGTCATCTAGGAGGTCGACCATTGAGAATTGGAGCGCCATTGTTATCTATTTGGTTCCCTCTTCACTGATCAATGTAAATGGGAGCGTGACTGTTCTTGTTGTCCAGATGTTGCGACTGGTGAACCCAACTAGTGGGCTCTAGCGTGTTAGTTGGATGTGCTTTTTCCATTCAAATGGTAACTGATGAAGGTAGTGTTCATAAATCACATTAACCTTGCTTCCAGTATCGATGTATACTTTCTCAATACGGTTTTGGTTAATGAAACCAGTGATGTGCAAAGGGCAATTCAGACTGCCAGTGCTTTGGTCGGGTATCGTGTGTTGAAAATACTACATTGAGGATGTTTTGATGGTATACCTACACGCCCATGCACCGACTCTGTCGGCTGCTACATGGGCAGGCCCTTGTGATGGTAAGTATCTCGGCCCTTCTTTCGTTATCCTAGCCCCCATCCTTTTGATTATGGGGCTGGTGCTTAGCCCCATCAAATTTTGCCCTTAGGCCTTTTACTATGTCAAATATATTTCCCACTAGTTGTTTCTCATTAATCTTCCCCTTTAATAATGTGCACTCTTTCGTGTCATGTGTTTTACTTCAATGATACTCACACAACTTGGTCTTGTCTTTATTCTCGTTGACTAGAGTCTTATTGATTGCATGTACATTGTTGTGGCTGCTCCTATTATCATTCGTGTTGAATGGTTGATACTGCCATGAGGGGTTTGAATTCAAATGCTACTGAGAATAGGACATCGAATCCATAGGAGCCAGATCCCTAGCTGGACGAGGTTTACACGGCTGCTACTTGTGGTTGAGATAGTGTAGGGGTTGAACCTGGAGTCTCTTGTACAAGTGGAATGAACATCGTGTTGGGTTATGGGCATTCTAACACTCCTAAGTGTACATGCAACCCTAAATACCTTGGATCTATGTTTTCTCTATTATACATGCAAATATGAACATCCAAGGTATTATCCTAATCTAGCATACAAAACAATGGATATAACAAGATATAATACATACCTTTTGTTAGTGCTTGTCTTCATGAAGCTTGAGTGCCTAGTGCCCCAAGTGTGACACCTCAAAGGGTTCACACAACACCAAATACACTTGGAATAACTTGAGAGAATTCTACACTTCATGAAAATCGGCTAGCCCTCTCTAGAGTAATACTAGTCCCGATTTTGTCAAGAATAAGATCTTTATATAGTGTTACAATTAGGGTAAACCCTAATGGTCATGACTTTCCATTTCCTTGGATCCATGGGTTCAAATACACCATGGAGCATCCATGGACCATCCTATGGGTTTTAGCCCAACTTGATTATCCATGGAGCATTAGCCCACTATACAAGTATGGATGATTTACACAATCAATCCATATATTTAATTAGTCTTCTTTTGATCACTTAACTAATCCTAGATTAATTCTTGATCAATACTAATTAAATAATCTCATTATTCTTATTATTAATATACCAGAACCATGGAGCATTAGCCCACTATACTCTGACCTTTGTCAATTACTTGTCCATTAGATAAGGGGTCATATATTCCTCCATTCTAGATATCATATGGACTGAGACATGGATTATAATCATTCTCTCTGTCCATTTGTTGTTTCCCGATTTCCGATTTATGACGACTGACTAATTGAACAAATCAAATCAGTCCTGGCCTGGCCGAGCACTTCCATTTGTCCTCATCAAATCATCGAGGGGCCCACAGATATCGCTTTTATCCCGAAGGTAAAAGGAATGGATAAACTTCGACTCATATGGCTTGATGAGATTAAACTAACCTTTAATCTATAAAGATCGATTAGATCTTGAACAAGTAAGTAAACAAAAACGATATAAACACAATAACAAGAACAAGACAAGATGGAATCAAACGTGTCGAATGATTAAACAAAATCCTCAGAAGAGCTCGATTAAGAACATCAACTATAGAGGATTGGAAGGTTACAAGAACGATCAAAGAAACCTGTTATCGTCTAGATGTATCGCTATTCATAGATCTCTTAAAAACCTTAACCTAATATGCATGAAAGCGTAAACTTATATACAAAACATAAAAGGTTCACGGTTGGACAGGCCCAAACCGTAATACAAAAAGCCTTATGCTAAACGAGCCCAAAAGACGCAGTCTTCAAAAATGATCTCCAGCCCAACAATCTCCCCCTTTGCGTCAATTTGGAGTGAGACCTTCACTAGTTACTGGGGCCAGCAGCTGAAGCAGGTACCTTCTTCTTCACGGTACTAAACAGACATTTGGTGATGGAAAGAATGGTCTGTCTAAACCGGATGTACCAGTTAATCATATCTTCAAAATACTTGACATCATCAGCCGATTTTCTCTTTACACCATTTGACAATGAACAACACATGCTCCAAACAGGTTGTGGTGTAAAGATGCTTGTCAGCTAAAGCGAAGAGACATTTATGTCCTTCCGCTCTAGTGAACATAACCGTGTTGCGTCTCGGGTCGATCCTGCCCAGTAGCATTTGATTGAGATCACTGGCCGATCCCACAGGAGCGATTTTGGGTTTCTTCTTGAAGACTATGGCGATCTCCTGATCCATTAGGGCAACCTCCATGATGTAGCAGACTAACATCCTTTTGACATGGTCTAGAATGGGACCATATTCAGCTTCATTAGTCAAAAGGATATTATACAGGACAATCCAATCATGAGGATTTGGATTCGGTAGATCTGCCAGGGAGATAAGATGAGTAGTTCTTGCAGATCCCCGAATCAACTTGAACCGAACATTTATAAAATGTCCCTCAGTATAAGGTTTCAGCACCCGAACGTTTACAATCTTCTGGGCGCTCCAAGTAAGGAATTGTGGACGAGCAGCCGCCAGATAGAAGTCAATGAGCTCCCTGTCAAGCTCAGCGTTCGGGTGAGGGACTTCAAAGATGTTAGAGAAGACGTGGAAGATGAACGCCTTTCGAGTCAGCGGCATATCGAACTGCGAATCGACAGTGTTGCTGCAGTCGAACGATATAACCGGCTCGAGCCATAAGATGCTACGAGTTTCAATGGCCTCTTTGATTAAACGTTCCCTGGTCTAGGCAGGGAAGAGAGTCTTTCGGCTCTCAAGGAGATCGTGGGCTTCTTTTTGTTTGCGTTCGGCTTCAGCAGCCTCTCGCGCCACACGACTGGCATCTTCATCAACCTTGCGACTGTTCTTTCGTTTTAAAATGTCAGCAATGGTCTCCTTGTCGCCTTCTTCATCTTCGTCCTCAGCTATGTTTTTGCCTTTGTCCTTCACACCCGAGCCTAAAGCATGACCAGTCGGAGATGGTTCGGTCGTGTGAGTAGCTTTGGAGGAAGGAGGTGGTTTTGATCCTGTCTTCTCATCTCCCCCTTGTTTCGGAATGGACACGAAACTTGGGAGCCCTTCTACTTTGTTAAGAAGATCGATGGCTGGAGAGAGCTTTTCAGCAAGGGAACGCCTCACCGAAAAGTTTAAGATGGGATCGTGTGCTTCCAGAATGTTGGATATAACAGCGTGAACATCCGAAACACACGTCTTGACCACCTCCCGTTCAGATCGAAGATCTTCCAGTTGTTGTTGGGATTGAGAGAGTTGAGTTGTCTTGACCTCAAGTGCGGTTGTTTTGGTTGCCAGATCGTCCATTAACGAACGCTCGGTTGCAAGATCCTCTTGTAGTTTGTTGAGGCGAGCATCAATGGAGGCACGAAAGGCCGAGTTGTCGTCGCTTATGGTTTGGCGTAGAGTAGCGAACGAAGGCAACTCCGATGAGACAAAGTTGGCCAATTGTTGGACAATTGGTTCCAAAGATGTCTTTGTGGCATCTGCACTTTCCTGCAGGGACTGCAGCAGGGTAGAGGCATCAGAAAATAGTTTATCGACTTTTTCGGTCGCTGCCTCATATGCCCTGGTAGATGCTTCAATTGCAGCAGTTGCTGAGGCCGCTGAATCATGTTGAGCCCTGGAGAAGGCATCAACAATCTTCTGAAGGGCAGCTTCAGACAGAGAGGACTGCTGGTTGGAAGAGGAGGCGAGAAGTAGGTCAATCTTCTCGTTGAGCTCTTTGAGATGCTTCTTGGTTACTGGAGCATCATCCTCCTCGTCACTTTGAACTTGAAACGGACTATAGTAGACCGAATCAAAGATCATGTTTTCTCCCCCAAGATAAGGGTTTTCGCCCTCAGATGCATTTTCAGGAGATGAAGGGGGTGGAGAGGTTGGGGGTGTTGTGGGTTTGGTAGGATCAGGTTGAGTGGGTGATGGTATAATTTTGGTTGGTGGTTGAGTATGGGTAGTTTCGGTTGTTTGGGTTTTGGGTTGAGGAGGTTCGGTTACATGTGGTGATTCGGTTGTAGTTGTAAAGATTGGTGGAGGGGAAGGAATTGGGGAAATTGGTAGTTCCATCTCTGGGGTAGGGGACCGAGGTGGTGTGTTGCCTCGTTGAGGAGATGCGTCCCCTTGAGAGTCGTCAGAACCCGAACTCTCACCCTCAGAGTCACTCGAAGAAGAGGGTATTACAAGCTTTCGCTTCGGTTGGGTCTTCCTCTTCTTCGGTGGTGGGGATTGTGCAGCTTTCGGTTGTTTCCTCTTTTTAGGAGAAGGCCCCTTTGGAGCTTTGGACGTTTGCTTCCCTTTTTCTGCCTTTTTGCCCCTGCTCACCGGTTTGTCTGCAT